TAATACCTAGGTCATTAAAGATACTATATTATAGGCTTTGGATATGCTTGGAGTCAATTTAAGATCTACAAGATATACACTTTATAAGGCTTACATATTTCTAAAAAAAAAAAATAAACAACAATAATAAATGAACAATTGCAATCGTAAGACACAACAAGTGTGAAGATAGTGACAGCAATAAACATGCTTAACCTCAATCAAATTTTTTTTTTGAGGGACTCTATGAAATTTTTTTAAAAATAAAAACTTAAGATCAAGTGTTGAATCAAACATTTCACTCCACCACCTCCACAACTATTATGCAATATTCAAGGATGAGTCTACTACTTTGCTAGGAGCGAAACAAGGAGAAACGAAAAAAAATGTAAATATTGAAAATTGAGAATTTAGGTTTTAGGGTTTGATATATATATAATTGGTTTCATTTTATATTTATAAAACATATTAAGTAAATGTGAAGTGTGTGTGTGTATATATATATATATATATATATATATATATATATATATATATATATATATATATATATATATATATATATATAATGAAAAAATTTTGCAAGGTCGACTAAGCTTACTCGGCCGAATTGGATGAGTTAACTCGTCCAATTCGACCGAGTAAACCTAGAGAGGAAATCGCCATGGTCTAAGGGCACCTAGCGCCTAGGCGGCCACCTAGGTATATATATAGGGGCGACTTATGTGAGAACGAGAGCCCAGGAGAGAACTAAGAACTAATTGCAGCCTTCTACGTGTCGAGATTCAACGAATCAGGTGTAATTTTAAAAAACGACCCTGTGAAATTTTCATAAATAACTCAAATTTTGGTGCCAGTAAAATGTGTTACAAGTGCAAGTAACTGGTGCAAGTTTGCAAGTAAAATGTGTAAGTAAAATCACTTACAAGTGCAACTATTTTCACTTACTACAAGTGCAAGTAATTTACCTTGTTAACATTCTTGCACCTAATGATAAAGTCTTTTACATAGGTGCACTTAATGATAACGTTTGGTGCAACTGATAATAGCGTTAGGTGCACTTAATATTGATGCACAGTGTACATTTTACTTGTACTTATAATACATTTTACTTGCACTTTGATTTCAATTATTTATTAAAATGTCACTGCATTTTTTTTTTAAATCAATGTTTCTGATTCGTTTGATCTGGACATGTGGACGGCTGTGAGTGGTTCTTTGTTTTCTCCTGAGCAACTCGTCACCCGAACGGCTTCCTCTCTATATATATATATATATATATATATATATATATATATATATATATATATATATATATATATATATATATATATATAAATAATTAGGATCGGGTGTAGTTATGGTGCCCAGGTGCGGTTGTGCGGTTTAATCTGGGCCATTCACTCGCTTAAATCAACGTTCAGGATTACCAAAATTTAAAAAAAAAAAAAACGCGGTGGCAATTTTGTAATTTTTACGTATAGGTCAAAATTAAGGTGAGCGGTGCTGTGATTAATGTGCGTGAGTTTTGTATATAAGATGCGTGAGTCTTGTGCGTAAGGTGCGTGAGTTTTGTGCTTAATGTGCGTGGGGTTGTGCTTAATGTGAGTAGTTGTTAAAACTTAAAGTGTGGGCTTTTGTGCTTAAGGTGCGTGAGATTTGTTCTTAATATGAGTGGAGTTTGTGCTTAATGTGCGTAGGGTTTGTGCTTAATGTGTGTGAGGTTAGTGATTAATGTCAGTAGTTGTTGAAACTTAAGGTCTGTGAGTTAATATTTAAAGTGCGTGGGTTTTGTGCTTAATGCGCGTGAGGTTGTGCTTAATGTGCGTGAGTTTTGTACTTAATGTGCGTGAGTTTGTGCTTAATGTCAATAATTGTTGAAACTTAAGGTCTGTGAGTTGATACTTAAAGTGCATGGGTTTTGTGCTTAATGTGCGTGAGGTTGTGCTTAATGTGCGTGTGTTTTGTACTTAATGTGCGTGAGTTTGTGCTTAAGATCTAACACTTAAGGTGTTTCTTACTCCAGACACGCATTTTTTTTTTAATTTTTATTAATTTGAGCCGTTGATCTAGATTTGATCAACGGCTCAGATCTAACCGAACAACCGCACGAGAAGCTATACCCACACCTAAACCCTTCCCTATACACGGTGCGCTGCTTGCGCGAGACCCAAGAGACTAGATTGTCACCTAAGAACACAGCGTAGCCACTGGTAGACTTACGATCTATCGGGCACCCAGCCCAATCTGAGTCAGAATAGGCTTGCAGATCTGAGGAAGCCGAAGGTGTAAGCCATAACCCTAGGTCATGTGTGCCCTTTATGTACCGTAGGACCCGTTTAAGCAAAGTCCAGTGTTCAGTAGTCGGTGTGTGCGTAAACTGACATAACCTGTTGACCGAGTAGGCAAGATCTGGCCTGGTGATAGTCAAATACTGCAGGGCCCCTACAATCCTGCGGTATTGTGTGGGATTCTCAAACGGATCAGACGAGGGAGCTACAGTTTCGTGACTGCTGCTGGAGTGGCCAAAGCTTTACAGTCCATCATTCCGGAGCGTATGAGAATGTCCTTCATGTATCTACGTTGAGAAAGAACCAGGGAGTCCCCAACTGGCAGTGTTTCAATACCTAGGAAGAACCGGGGTTGTCCAAGATCTCTAATCTTGAATGTCATGGAGAGCCGGTGCAGCAATGCGGTGACTAGATCCGTGTCGTTGCCCAGCATGATGATGTCATCTACGTACACTAGGAGAAAGACACGTGATGTACCCGTAGTGTAGTGAAAAAGTGAGACATCCGTTTTAGAGGCTCGGAACCCAGTGGTGATGAGAAAGTCGTGGAGCCGTTTGAACCATGCACGCGGAGCCTGCTTTAACCCGTATAGTGAGCGCTGGAGTCGGCACACATGATTAGGTTGCGTTGGATCTTCGTAGCCGGGGGGTTGTTTCATGTATACTGTTTCTGAAAGATGGCCATTGAGGAAGGCATTGTGTACGTCAAGTTGTCGCATAGTCCACCTGTGGGAGAGAACAAGGGAAAATAATATGCGAACAGTGGTTGGCTTAACCACCGGGCTAAATGTGTCAAAGAAGTCTTCGCCTACAACTTGATTGAACCCCTTAGCAACAAGACGTGTTTTATAGCGTTCTATCGAGCCATCGGCTTTACGCTTTGTGTGAAAAACCCACTTGCAGCCGATGATGTTCATATCCGGTGTGGCCGGTATGAGCTCCCAGGTGCTATTGTGTAGGAGGGCATTGAACTCTTGGTCCATGGCCTCACGCCACTCTGGGTGACCCACAGCTTGTGAGTAACAAGTTGGGTCGGTGGATGCAGTTAGGGCGTAGAACTCTTCGTCCAGGCCTTGTGTTTGGCGCCTCGTGCGCATGACATGTGGTATAATAGCCTGGCCCCGCCTTCGGGTGCCTCTGGCCCGCCTAGCCACTGGTTCTGTCCTGGCATTGGTGGGTGAAGTTGGTGGAGCCGCAATAGCTAACGGCCTCGGCTCTTGTGCTAAAGGCAACTCCACAGCAGTGGGCACGGACTGTGAACCCACAACTATTGGCCCGGACCCCCAAGGTGGAGTTGATGGGCTAGCTGCAACCTGTTCATCAACTGCATAGCAAAGGGAAATATGGACTCGTCAAATCGGACATGCCGACAAATAAAGACTTTTCCCGTAATTGGATCAAGACAACGGTATCGCCTATAGGAGATTGGGTAACCTAAGAAGACACAGGGCATCGACCGGTATTCCATCTTATGCCGATTATAAGGCCGTAGATAGGGATAGCAGCGACACCCGAATACACGAAAGAAAGTGTATTGTGGTTGAGTTTTATATAGACGAAAGTAAGGACTTTGATTGTTTATAGCGGAAGATGGTAGGGAATTAATCAAGTACGTTGCAGTTTCAAACGCACAGTCCCAGTAGATTGAAGGAGTTGAGCTTTCAGCAAGAAGTGCTAAGCCGGTTTCGACGATGTGTCTATTCCGGCGCTCAACTCGCCCGTTTTGCTCATGTGTGTAGGCACACGATTGACGGTGGATAATCCCGAGAGACTCAAAGACTTTGTGATGGCGGCGGTATTCACCCCCTAGATCAGACTGGATGGCGATGATAGAACGGGAAAATTGACGTTCTACCATCGCCCGGAACACTTCAAAAATTTTATATATATCCGATTTTAGCCTTAACGGATAAAACCAGGAAAAACGGGAGTGGTCATCCACAAACAGTACAAAGTAGCGGTATCCTGAAGCACTAATTACAGGAGATGGACCCCATATGTCCGTATAAATCAGATCCAATATATTATTACTAGTGCTCAAAACTCTATTTAAAGGAAATCGTGAGGATTTTCCTAATTGACACGAAGTACAAACTTTTCACAAACTAGTTTTATTGTTGACCACCGGACAGTGTTTTAGGACTCTTTGCAAGACTTGATTGTGAGGATGACCAAGGCGTTGGTGCCAGACTTCGGTGGACGCACGCGCAGACAGGAAAGCACATGGTGATGACTGGGGAACCAATAACTTGTACAGTCCTCCCGAGGTAGACCCTTTAAGAAGAACCACCTGAGTTTTGCAATCCTTCACATAAAACAGATTTTTGTGAAACTCAAAGTAAACATCGTTTTCATTTGTAAAACGATACACGGATAATAACGGTAACGTTAAATTGGGAACACATAGAATATTGGACATTGACAAAGACTTAGAATTAGATGGGATAACCGTGTGTCCAATACGAGAAACGTCCAAACCTGTACCGTTGCCAATTTTTAGAACATCCCCGCCGGTATACGTGTCGGAGTGATTCAACATCTGCTCGTCCGGAGTTGCATGCGATGAGGCTCCGGTGTCCGGATACCACACATCCGCACCATGCACGGTGGACTCGCCGGAAACAGCAACGTTTGCATGACCAGCAGGGTGATCCGCGTAGCATTTGTAGCAGTAAAGTGCAGTGTGGTCGTGCGACCTGCATATTTGGCACCTCGATCCGCCACCATGGCCCTACCTTCCGCCACCTCCTCTGCCACCACGGTTCTGCCTCCCTCTCCCGCGGTTGTTATGCGACTGATCGCCGCTGTTACGCCCACGCCCAGCGAAGAATGCGGCCGGTGCACCACCTCCTCCAGAAGAGTCACCCACTGCAAAATCATCTTCGTGGATGAACTCCTGGGCTTGGAGAAAGTCGGAGAGTTGCGTCAGAGTCACGGGTGCGCCGGTTGTAGTGAGGGAATTCGCCATGGTTCGGAACTCCAGGCGTAGGCCGCGAAGAACATATAGAATCTGTTCTTCATTCGACAGAGGTCTGTCGGCAAGCGAGAGGGACTCAGCGATCACCTTGCAACGGCCTAGATAGTCGGCCGGTGAACCTGGGCCTTGACGAAGGGTTTGAAACTGCCCCAGCAAACTTAGGCACCTCGCTCTCGTCGTGGAAGCTAGCGTAGACGCAAGGGAGTCCCACACCTCACCGGAGGTGTCTCGTCCAACGGCTAGATGCATCACCTCGTCGGAGAGGGACGATATGATCGTGGATAGGATAACTTGATCCTGTTGTATCCACGCTTCATAATCAGGATTCGGGGCGGTGGTTGTCGTGGTCACGGAGGAGCCGCCGGATTCCGGAGCAATGGTGATGGTAGCAGCCGGACATGGCTTGGAGCCATCAACAAAATCGAGTAGTCCCTGCCCACGCAAGAATGGAACTACCTGGGTGCGCCAAAACAAGTAATTCCGCATGGTGAGCCGAGTAGAAACGAAATGGTGCCCCGCCGTGAGAGTGTTGACCGACGGCGAAGCACCGACAGGGACGGTGGTGATGGTCCGTTCTGAGGAGTTAGTCGACATCTCAATTGTCGGGATTGTTTGAAAGAAAACAGGCTAACCTATCGCAATTGATACCAGATGAGATAACAGTGATCTGAATTGATTGAATTGAATTACAGAGAGAGTCTAAACTATATTAAAGTCTACACATTATTCTCCTATCCTGTAGGCTAGACAATTAGACTAAATCTCAACCACTAGAAATACAATCATATAGTATAAGATAAAGCAGCAATTAATCATATTACTAACACAGGCAAAAGAGAAAGGCAACTTGGGCAAGGGCAATAGTTATTGTGTAGAACGTGGTCCACACAGTTGTGTGGACCACTGTTCAAAAACGACGTTGTTTTGCTTCTTTTTTTTTTTTTTTTTTTTTTTTTTTACACGACCTGTTGCAATATATATTTTTATAACTCATAATGTATATTATTGTAACACATAAAATATATTATTCTAACACATTATGTATATTATCTTACCCAGAAATTTTATTATTCTAATAATGTACATTATTCTAAGTCATAATTTACATTATATTCTAACTCATAAATATTGTTAAGGTAATTGGTTGGCAAAATTTAATAACAATACTTACTCAATAGTAAAAATACAACCCCATTTTTAATAATTTAACAAAACTAATTAAGAATAAAAGAAGATACATAATTGATTAAATATTACCTATTGATTATCAAAAAGTTTTATTTAAATTAATGTTCATTATGCTTTTTAAGTTTGAGTTGGTCAGCAATGGACATTGTAAGCTGATTTATGTCCTTGTGGTCCTTTACTAACTACGGTCACAAGACCTACTTTATCCAGAGTTCATATTTGGATAGCAGCTACGGAATTTGGGTAAATGAAAGGAGTAACCAATTAAATATTATTAGCAACTAAATACTTGTGTTATAAGTTTAGTGGGTGTATGATATCATAAAAATGGGGCTTCAATTCCAGTGGTAAAACGAAAAAGCAAAAGCAAAAGCAAAAGATGGAGAAGAATGAGAAGAGAGGACAGACAACAAACCCCACAAAACAGAAAAGATAGAAGACAAGATCAGGACATACTGCACTGCTGCAATATCATATCATACAAAATCTGGACAGTCAGCTCCCACACTGTTTTAATTAATTTTCTCTCCGATCCGATCCGGCCTCAACTTGAATAGCCATGGCGGTGGTGCTAGCAGCGCTGATTTTGACGTTGACATTTGTTGTGTTGAGAGTGGAGTCGAGTTGGTGCGTGGCGAGGAGTGATGCTAGCGACCAGGCCCTCCAGTCAGCTCTAGACTACGCTTGCGGGTTTGGTGCAGACTGTGCTCCCATACTTTCCGACGGGCTATGTTATCTCCCCAACACCTTGTTGGCTCACGCTTCCTACGCCTACAATAGCTACTACCAGCGCAAGGGCAGGGCTCCTGGCTCTTGTGACTTTGCCGGCACCGCCAACATCGCCAGAACTGACCCAAGTACGTTGGTCTAGCTCCATCATAATAATGTCTGTTCATCCAGATTAAATAATACATGTTTTTAGTAAAACTATCATATATATATATACATATATATGTCTTTTTTTGTTGGAGTGACTTGAAAAATTCCAAGTTATTAGTCAAGTGTGTACTTATAAACTCTGTTTTCTGACTTTAGTATGTAAAGTGCTACAAGGGGTTAAACCTTAAAGACTTTGAGTTATTTTTTTTTTTTTTTTACTAATAGGGTTCATCAAGTTGTCATTATTAAAATTACAAAAATTACATTTTTTGCGGGTAAAATTAGAGTTTATTATGCAAGGTCGGAAAGACAAACTAAAATAACTAAACCTGCATAATTAAAAGACCAAACTCGATTTGCTTTTTAAAATGAAGGAACATGTGTATATTTATGATAAGGATTTTTTTTTTTAAATATATAGTTTAAATCTTATATATAATTTCAGCTTATAAATATTAGAAAGAAGCATATTTTGTTAGATGCAAATTGCATTTTTTTTTAGTTTCTGACTGCTGCATATATTAATTTAATTTGGATTTTTCCTTGTGTATAAATAGGCTATGGATCTTGCATTTATCCATCCAAACCAAGGTATGATTACCATTCTGTTTTATAATTTATGGCTGCTTTAATTAATTTATTATTATTATCTTTAAGCTTTTTCTTTTGTTTAATTTTTTAATCGAAATAATACTGTAGAATACAACTAATTATATATTCACTAATTCCTTAAAATAAAAATTTCATTTAAAAGTTTCTTTAATTTGAAGATATCAAACGAAGAAAATGGTACATTAAAAACTGAAAAGAATCGTCAAACCCAGATTTGTGTAAGCTTTTGTTTTACCAATGAAAATGTGTTGGTGCTGTAGTGTACAACCAACATATGATTTCGGTGGGACCTTAGTTTACTCGTCTCCTCCCTTTTGGCTGCTGGCGGTGGAGATGAAGTATAGTTTGTGTCAAATAGTTATTGTGTTCTTTTGTCAATTAAAATCATAAAATTACACATTTTACTCCTAACTTGAATAAAAAGAAAATATGAGTTTTAACTACTTGGCCAGTTGGCCCCACATGACTGGACTACACCTCTACCTTACCTCCTCTTTCATCCACTGCACAGAAAAAGAATTGTTTATAGATGATAATAAAGTTGTGAATATTTAAAGTTAGTCTCTCATCTATGCCATGTCATAAATTTTCAATGTTTGGAATTTATGAGAATTAAAAGGAAATAAGTAGAATAAAGATTAAAATGTCTACTATTATTATTATTATTATTATTATTATTATTATTATTATTATTAAATACCAAGTAAATTTGTGTAAAACCATAATGCAATGTAGTTGTTATTTGGACACTTTGAATATAAATTTATATCACTATAACATATTTAATAGCTACCAAAATTTACTCAATCATGTAATGTTAAGCTTCATAAGCTTACACCAAAAAATTTCATATAAATAAAAGTACACAAGTTAGTTAAACATCTACCTACAAATCTAATAAGAGCCAATAATGTTAGACCCTTAAATGGAACAAAAAAATATCGGTGTAATTGTTTCTTAAAATGAATAAGTTTCAAATTGGCCACTGAACGTAACCTGAAAATGCGATTAGGTCACTCAACGGAAAAAAAAAAAAAAAAAAAAAAGTGCATTTAGGTCACTAAACACTCCAAATGTATGCAATTTCACCTCATAGCAGGTTACCATCAATTTTAGCAGGTTACTTGCTTACATGGCAGCTGAGTTGGCATTTTTAATAATTTTAAATAAATTTTAGGGATAATCAACGATTTGGTCCCTCAATTGTTAGTGAAATATCAATGTAGTCCCTTAATCGCGTAATCATCGATTTAGTCCCTGAAAATAACTGTTTTTAGTTGATTTAGCCCCTCCGGCCGTAGGCCGTCAACAATCCGGCGATAGCTCCGATTTGCCATGGATAATTTAGTCATTTCGTTTCTTTAGTCTTCTTCCACCGAGAAATTTCTATGGTATCCCATTCTAGTCTTCTCCTTCACTTCCTTGATGATCTCTTCGGTCCAATGGCAGCGCCCGGAATCCGGCTCTCTGCGTCGTCATCTGCCACTGCTTGAACGTCTCTGGCCGCTCAACTCTCTCTCTCCCTTCGCACGCGATCACGTTCATAACGTCGTGTCCCAACAGTTCCTGCTCCGCCAGCAACCGCCCTTCGTCTTCTCGCAGCATCGTTGCTTCGAATAGCGACGAGAAGTGGAAGTAGGCTTCTCTGAATCGCGTTGTGAAGAACGGTGCGTTGTTCATCCCGTTGACGATCCTGTGCACGAAGAATTGGGGATTTATTTTCTTGATTAGCTTGATAACGTCATCTCTGGGGCTGTTGTTCTTCATTAATGTCTCGTCAGGCACAATTCTTCATCCTGTATAAGCAGTTCGCGACTAGGGTTTCGTCTTCCTCGATCTTCAGATCTTCTGTGGTGATTTCTTCCCATTTCTTGGCTATGGTGGTGTACTGGAAGGGGACGTTGAATCTCCTGGCGAAATTCTCCAGCCGCCGCCTGTTTCCTCTCTTCTCTCCACCGGGCGGAACACTGGCTGGAGAAAGTCGATTCCGATGATGCGGAGCTTCGGCGGCCCGCCGGGGCGGAGGGAAATGCCGTGAATGATGCACGGAAACCATAGAGAATCCCAAAGTCGATGATGTGGATCTTCTCGGCTTCTCTGGTTAGTTTCGCGATTGATTTGTTAGCGTATATGTTGGACATCCGCTTGAAGGGACATGTAGTTATGTATGTCTGATAAGCTTTGAGATACTCCGCCGCTGACATTCTCCTCCTGGTTATGCTGGCGTACAATGAAACAAGATGCTTTACCAGATTTCTGCGAAACAGATGGTGGCGCTTCTCTCTGCTTTCCATCATTCATTTCTTTCTTTATGTGTGACAACCGCAACCGCCTCTTAGTTGAGACGAGAGTCTGATAAGCTTTGAGATACTCCACTGCTGACATTCTCCTCTTGGTTATGCTGGCGTACAATGATGTTCAGGTGCCGGTGGCGCGTGCCTCCAAGGCGTTCGCGAAGCATTGGGTGAGTCGTTTGGTGGCGTCGTCGTACTGGGAGGAGTGTTACCGGATAGCTGCGAGGCGGTGGTCGAAGTTCTTCTTGTCGTGCAGTGGGTGGCCTCGGCTTGGGCGCAACAACCGAGAAGATCGGTAAAGTCGACGATCTGCTTGGGCTTAGGTGCAGCGAGCGAGAAATGACTAAATTACTCATGGAAAATCGGAGCTATCGCCGGATTGTTGACGGACTATGGCCGGAGGGGCTAAATCAACTAAAAACAGTTATTTTCAGGGACTAAATCAATGATTACGCGATTAAGGGACTACATTGATATTTCGCTAACAATTGAGGGACCAAATCGTTGATTTTCCCTAAATTTTAATAATAATTTTTAAATAAAAAAAAAACGACGGGGTGGCCGCCGTCGTTTTATTTATTTTATTTATTTAATTATTTTTTCAATTTTTTATTTTAAATT